TCCATCATAACTTCGATATCCACTCGTACGAAGCTTTTGTTTCATCTCGCTTACTAGGGTATATAACCTTTGATTCAACTGGCTTCTTCAGCAGGACGGGGCTTTGTGGCCTAATTGAAGCCGCTCGCGCCCGCGACGCATCTACGTCTCTCCTGCTCTATGATCATTACCTAGCCTTAGTTAGGTCACGAAACCCAGCCTTCAGGGAGCCAAGCCAACTGAATAACCAAATGGTAGTACGCCTCTTTTGAGAGCGCTGTCAGCATGCGCCCTATATCTCAAACTCAGTTTGTAGTAGCTACATAATATTTATTGAAAGCGAAGCCGCAAGGTCATAATTGTAGGTATTATCTGTAAGGTATAATTACGGCTTATTTAGCTTTTAATCTGCAGTCTGTTCTTATTTGACCACCTTCAAATCTGCGTTTCTTTGCATCTGCCTACTGCATGTATAAGCAGTGGCGATTGTTGGAAATTTTCAGTCTGATTTTCGATTTTGATTTTCTTTTTTTCCTGCTAACACAAGTCATCCTTTTGACAATGGCCCATAGTAAAGCTGCTTTATTCGATCTCGGCTGAATAAAATTTCAGTTGAGGTTTCGACGAGTCAGCTTGCCTTCAGTCAAACCATTGTTTGATATTGCCAACCACCCACGATGATAAGATTGAGAGCGCCACGTCCATGCAAGTATACGAGTCAGGACGAGTTTTCCAAACAATCATATCTAAGTCATTGGACTAGCGTCGAGGATGTCGCCACACTTGTTAGGTCTTGTTAAGTCTCGTCAGCATCACTGTGGCTCCTCACCGACATGTTAAACTGGCGTGTATCGTAAGTTACTCGGGAACTTACGTGAAGCTTCCCTGCGTATCATCATTGACACACTATTTAATTGGTAGTCTAACTGAATGTGGACTGACTGAATTAAGGTAAACTACCTCGTCAGGTAGACGGACGGTCAGCTGAAATTTCATTTTGCATTCTTACTACATGGGAAGCTGGTGATAGGCAGTCTACCTTACCGAGTCTTGGATGAGGGCCTCAGTTCGGTTCACCTGAACTGAATTAGCTTTACTACGGGCCAATTTCTTCTCTGAACTTCACCCTTCTCTCTGTTTCTTCATGCAGAATTCACATCATTCAGAAGCCAATGTGGATCTTAACGCCCATAAAACCAAATGTGCTGTCATCAAAACCTCAACGTGAGCAACCTACTTCTTACCAGTTGCTGGACTAGACGAACCATCAGTTGAAGTTGGGCGATCTAGTTGGCGTAAACAAGGTTACTAGTGCTTTGTTTCTTTATGATGTTTCTTAATCTTTGCCTCGATAGGATTCCTACTTGATTTTGGAGAAACTTTCGGCAGAATACAATTCTTCTTTTTGTGAAGGCTATGGAGGTACTTTTGTTTTGCTTTTTTTGTGTTGAACTTTTTTTTCGCGCTGATCCGAACTACCAAAACATCCCCAAATTTAGGTTGATGAGAGACCATTGGAGCAGTACTCCGATATTGGAGGTTGTGACAAGCAAATCCAAGAACTCATCGAGGCTGTAGTACCGCCAATGACACACAAGGACCGCTTTGTCAAGCTCGGTACCCATCCACCAAAGGGAGTTTTGCTGTATGGACCACCAGGTACGCTCTTTCATTTTACTCCGGCTATCTTATATATAAAGCTGAATGTCTGTTTGTCTGTCTGTATGTCTGTCTGTCTGTACGTATGTTCCGAATAGAAAATTCCATTTCTGAACCGATCGGGACCAAACTTGGCACACATACACTTCGGGCCCCCGGCGGGTGTCACAGTCTACTTTTCGTCATCGATCGATATCGATTTTATCGATTTTTTGCAAAATTTGAGCTACGGGGCTGGGAGTTGGCACAGGGAGTAATCGAGCATGCTGATCACCCCCTTGGGGATGATCAGCTTGCTCGATTACACCCCTCTGCCAAATTTCAGCCCCCTAGCTCAAATTTTGCAAAAAATCGATAAAATCGACATCGATCGATAACGAAAAGTGGACTGTGACACCCGCCGGGGCCCGAAATGTATGTGTGCCAAGTTTGGTCCGGATCGGTTGAGAAATGGAATTTTCTATTCGGAACATTCGGCGGAGCCGGGTAAGCCAGCTAGTCCTCTATATAATGCTGTGTCAGATACGGATAAAACCATGATGGCTCGCGCTGTTGCTGCGCAAATTAAATCGATTTTCCTCAAACTTGCCGGTCCACGGTTGCTTCAAATGTTCATTGCAGATGGCGCAAAACTGTTCGTGACGCTTTTGCACTTGCCAAGGAAAAGGCTCCTGCTGTTATATTCATCGATGAACTTGATGATATCGGTGGGTTTAGTTCCTTGTCTAGCACCGTAAATTTACTTTTTCTTTTCTTTTTTGTCATAATTTATTGGTCTAATTAGGTGCCAAGCGTTTCGATTCTGAAAAAGCAGGTGACCGTGGAGTGCAACGTACTATGCACGAACTACTCAATCAACTCGACGGTTTCCAACCGAATGACGAGATCAAGATGAGATTATCGGCAGGTGTGCTCAAACCATGTCAGAGTCTATTTAGGGAATTGCTGCGACTGCTATCACTGCTATACTATTGCTATTATTGAATAAAAAAGTTAAAATGTTGTAATTTTTTGTTGAATAAGAAAGTTGAAATGTTGTTATGCTTTGAAGAGGAAATTGTAAACAGAGAAAATTATATGAATTAGTTGAAGCTGTGAAGCTCAAGAGCGGGGGAAGGGGGGGGGGGGTCGTGCGGGGGTCCGGCCCAAGGGGGGAGGTCGTATCCGACGTTCGTGTGCCACACCCCTGCTTGACCCTGTTCAAAAATTTTAACTTTTTCAACACGAGTACAAACACTTTTGATTACATTTTCTTTCTCTCATTGTACCGCGACCATAGCTGTAAAGAGGAAAATGAGCACAAATACCTAAGTGACATAGCGCAAACCTTTCGCCATACATCGCACATTCACCCATACTCATATCACAAACGGGCAGAAAATATGGATTGGAAGTAAAAAGAGTTTTTTTTTTGTAAAAGCTCGTCTTTAACTGATCAGAACTCCCTTCAAAATTTGTTGGTGTAAATGACAAGAAGCCTATCTTGTAGCCGCAAGCCATTAACACAAAAAAGATAAGAAAAGGTTGAACAAAGAAGATTTGAGATATGGAAAAATTTTGAAATGTAAGAGTGTCAGCTTTTTTCAACATTTTTTCGTAGGCTTCAAGGTCCCAAAATTGTTTTTTTTTTTGATTTTCTGCGTACCGAACAGTTAAACATTTTTGCAAAACTTAACAGAAGGACCACTCTTGCGCTTACAGAAATGACAAGAGCTTTGGCGATTGTTCTCTTCTATTGTAATCTATGGGTCGCAGAATGACCAAAATAGCTAAACTGATTTAGGCGCCAAAATCTCAGTTTAGGTGAATTCCGAAAAAAGTAGAGTGTGCCTAATATGGACAATTTTTATTATATGTAGTAGCTAAATTTTCAAAAGCATGCTTCGCGCTTCAATTCTGGCCATAAGCGTAAATGCAATGAAATTCTGGTTTCGAGTGCGGTTGTGTAAACAAGTTTCTTAACGAATGAGGCTAAAGCCCGCTTCGAACTTCTTCAAATAAAGCATGAAAAGAGCTTCTTGACTGTATGCTAAGTGTTTTCAAAAAAAGTTTGATGGAAAAATGTCCTGAAACAAGGGCTAGAGAAACGCGCATTACTTTTGCACCAACCTAATATACAACAACTGAAAACTGTAACATTAGAGGTCAATTTTTTTATTTGCGTTTAGAATTTTTATTACTTTTACATTTTCTAGTCATTCTGTAGCTCCTAATGAAACTATTAATAAACGTAGGGCTTCTTTTAAGGATTGTTTTTGAATTCGGAAGGCACAACATCTCGTCGCAAAGCAACAACTTCTCTCACCGAACCGCTTTGATCTAGAATAAACTCTCACTATCCTTAGCTTTAAACTCAGGCTCGACTGAAAGCAGCGTTAAAGAAAGTAAATGTACGTGCAGCACATCTACTGAAGAACATCGAAGAAATATTTTTGGTAGTCTTAGTAGCAAGAAGATGTCGTTTCGGATCCTGGTTTGCTCCGTCTACAGGTTACACTTGGTTTTTGGGGAAGAGTGCAAAAGTTTCAAAAAAAAGAAAACTTGACCATGTTAAAAACGTTGTAGTCTTTTTCTGATAGCTAGTTGATTGAAGTGCAACATGAACAACATCATTCAATAGGGCATGAGAAACTGCATTGATCGTTACCAGTATCTTCCATAAATCTTTGTTGCGCGGAAAGTGGCGCTTGCTAAAAAACCGAATTACTTGTAGGACGGCCTAATATATTCCAGATGTCACCTAAGGCGACTTTCTCTGTACGGTTGCCGCAACTACCGTACTTCTTCCAGAAGTTGAAACTTTGTGGCTTGCAAAACTGCATTTATCGCTACTTCACGACCCCATACCATCACGAGGGTAATGGAGCATGCAAACGAGTTTTTGCTACTTTTCATCCCATGCTCCGCACATATTAGTGAAAATCAGGATGATTGAAATAAGTCTGTTCCAGCGTGCGCTTTCATGTATATTAGCACGGTTCATTCCAGCACCACGCCTTTCTTTCTGAAGTTCGGTAGAAATCTAGCGTTCAATATTGACCTCCTAGTCAAACACGACCTCCAACGCCATTGGGCTATAGACGAAGATGCGAATATGTACATCGAAAATTTAGTAGCTACTCTGCGTTCGGAGTGGCGGTCAGCCGCTTTATGCAATGCGTCAAATGAGCGTTATAAGATCCAGTGTGACAAATCCCACCTCAATACTCTCAAAATTCAAGTAGGTGATAGAGTGTTCCTTCGGGACTTTACCCCCAAAATTGGACTGTCTCAAAAACTCTGCGATCCTTGGCTAGGACAATTTCGAGTAATCGAAGTAGATCCGCCGCACTTAACCATTTCTAGTATCTCAGCATCACAATCTTCTCCAAAGAAAGTTCACATGAATCAAGTCAAAAAGTGTTTCACATTATCAGGTCCGGTGTTAACTTCGCCATGGCTTCCCGAGCAAGAACAAGAACAACTAACAGCGATGGAAGCGACAGACGTCCACATACCGGTCGTGAGCATGATGCACCAAAACTTGAAACAACCCCATCACCCATTACGAAAAACATTACAAAAAGGTTTAAATACTATTGATGGTCATCGTCGGTAAAGATACTTGTTTTTTGTCGAGTGTGTGAGAGTTCAGAGAGGCTTCGAGAGCAGGATTTCTAAGCCAGTACATTTAGAAATTTTGACAGATCAAAAATCCTTTAAAAGTGTTTTGCGGTGCTACTCAAGTATTTTTTTCCCTTTCTCTTTTCAAGACGCCATCATGATTTCCTCCCAATAAATTCAAAAAGTCCATGAAAATCTAACATATAATCCAGCGGTGCTACTTAAATATTTTTTCCCTTTCGCATTCCAAGATGCCATCATGATTTCCTTCCAATAAATTTAGAAAGTGAAATCTAGCGTATAAAAGTCCCTGAAAAAACGGTTTATTTCTGAAAATATTTATGGTATGTTTATCCACATATAGAACGTGTGCATGCAAAATTTCAACAATTAGAACTTGAGTTCTAAAAGAGTGTCTCATAAATAAAACATTTTTCAGAATACTTTAAACCGTACTAAAAAAAATTGAAATTGTTGTGATTTTATAGAGATCAGTGTACTCTTTTAATACGTTTGATCGTGATCATTAGCACTCAGATTATTTCAGGAAGGCTGTTTTGTGATTGCGCACCCGCCTACCCCTTACCGAAATCCAGTCTCAGATGACAGGAGAAATATTTTAATGCAGGATTGAGGATGAGGAATAAAGATTACCTCGTTTGAATCAGCATAGCTAACAAGGGAAGGATACTTGGTCGAAGTGGCCATTTGGAATGAGCTGTATATTAGGAAACCGTCCTCCGTAAGGCAAACTCAAAACTACTTTCGCTAGGTGCCGAGCGGTTTTGTGGGGGGAGTTACAAGGCCATTTTCCTCCGGCGCAGCTAGCGCACCCAGTAATGAGCGAGGCGCTAGAATAACGCACCAGTGTGGGAGTGGCGCAGTGGCAACGCAGCGGACTACGAAGCAGATGATCGAGGGTTCGAGTACTGTTGCTACTACTTTGTTTTGCAGTTCTGTAAAAAGTCTATTGGGTGACAGCAAACGATAAATACTATTTCTAGGCAGCTCAAACAAGCTATTTACTGCAAAAAAGTCACTATTTCTACAATAAGCCATAATCTTTTACAATATGTAAATCTGTGGAGGTTATGATGTCACAACAATGGGTTCAAATGATATATTAACATGTATGGAATACAACCACAAAATGCACAAAGCAGAAGAGCTTCTCGCAACGCGCGCACTTGCAAAATTGCAATCGATTCACATCCCATTTATTGGCTCTTGATCTGAACTTTACCTTGCATCATAGGGATTCCATCCTTAAGGTACTTATCGCTCATTTACACACAATTTTGCTCGCCGCGATTCAAAAATTTGCTTTTATACCCATGGATGCAGCCGGATACATTGACAACCACCCCGGCGAATTCGAGTCTCCTATTCAGTACCGTTTTTCACCGACTTTGATAGACAATTGGGAAGCTGCTGATTGTCATCGTTTTATTTTATCCGATGTGCGCGCTGCGAGAAGCTCTTCTACTTTGAGCATTTTGTGGTTGTATTCCATACATGTTGATATATCACTTGAATCCCTTGTTGTGACATCATAACCTCCACAGATTTACATATTTTAGAAGATTATAGTTTATTGCAGAAAGTGACTTTTTTGCAGTAAATAGCTTGTTTCAACTGCCTAGAAATGAGTATTTTTCGTTTACTCTCACCCAATAGACTTTTTACAGAACTGCAAAACAAAGTAGCAGCAACAGGACTCGAACCCTCGATCATCTGCTTCCCAGTCCGCTGCGTTGCCACTGCGCCACTGCCACACTGTTGCGTCATTCTAGCGCCTCGCTCATTACTGGGTGCGCTGGCTGCGCCGGAGGAAAATGGCCTTGTAACTCCCCCCACAAAACCGCTCGGCACCTAGCGAAAGTAGTTTTGAGTTTGCCTTACGGAGGACGGTTTCCTAATATACAGCTCATTCCAAATGGCCACTTCGACCGAGTATCCTTCCCTTGTAAGTACCAACTTACACCTTTCTAATCCAAGGTTCAAAAAAAGAGTATTGGGTATTCTCACAACAGTTACCTCTTCCGTAATCAGCATGCTCAGTTATCCCACTGTGCCAACTCCCAGCCCCGTAGCTCAAACTTTGCAAAAAAATCGATAAAAGCGATAAAACTAATGGACGATTTCAAAAACTAATATTGTATAGCCTACGACACCCGCCCGCCCCGAAGTGTATGTATGCCAAGTTTTGCCAGTCCGGATCGGTTCAGAGATTAAAATTCCTATTCGGAACATACGTACATAGAGGGAGACATACAGACGTACAGACATACATACAAGCAGACATTCAGCTATATATAAGATGATCTATATATAGTCTGAAACAGATACTGAGTTGAAGGGATCGTCAGAGCAAAATTTTT